CGCGCAGTCGGTGTCGCCGCGAACGCTATTCCCAGCCTCTAGAAGCGGTCGCTGTCGGTTTTGGATATCCGTAGCATGCGTTGGGCATCGTACCTTGGGGAACAAACCATGGCATACACATTCATTTCGGAGCGCGCCAGGGGCAGCGCCGCCAGGCAGCCCCAGCGCCGATCCGAGGAATCCGCGCTGACCTCTGAGTTGTTATGTTATGTCATTGCTTGTACTCCTGACCTTACCATGTGCTGTTGGGAGTTTGATTAGTACGTCGACCTAAATCAAGGTCCTGGTGTCCTGCATCTCGCGACCCATGGACTCTGCATGCCCGTGGCAGTGTGGCCCTCGGAAGTGTCTTGTGTCCCCTCGCATGTCCTCCAATCACTCTCGACAGTACGCACCAATGTTTCCGTACCGCTTCCGGGCGTCCAGATCCAGCGATTGTCTCTCTTCAAAAACGGGGTTAGGACAAGAACAAATCCGTTCCAGAGCGTTCCGGAACGCTTTGAGAAGGCCGTGGCGCCGGGTACATCTTCCAGAGCCGCCGGATCTCAGAGATTCTCGATTTATCCTCACCCGAGTTTGCCCTCGTCATGGCTTTCGGTCGGGTGCATCTCCCTGCAGGCGTATTTGGGAGGAAAAACAGAAATAGTTAAACTATTCAAAAATACAACAAACGCGTCCCCCGATGTGTTTTGTTTGTTTGTTTGTTTTTTTTTTGTTTTTATAACGAAAAAGAAAATATTTTTGGATTTTCCTCCTGTAGAGTGACGGGCACGATTTAGTCCTGGTTTCGTCTTAGCCCTCCGTTTGGAGGTACGTCTCCACGCTGGGAGCCTTGCCCGCCCTCGTGCGGGAGGAGGGCGCCGCCGGTTGCGCCCGCGGCATGGGGCCCTCGCTGGCGCGGGCCGCGCTGGTGAACGCGGGGTATCCGTCGGGGGCGGCACAGAGCGGGGGGTGATGGCCGGGGGGTCAGAGGGGGAGGAGGTGCCCATACCGCTGCCATCCGCCCGTTTTCCCCCTCTTGGGCCTCCTCGGAGGCCCTCGTCGCCACCGCTGGACTCGCCACGAAAATTCTGGTCAGAAAGCACCCCGGAAGAGGTCTGGGGAGTAGCGGTATTGGTACCTTTTGGTCTCCCCAAGGGGGGGGATATTATGGCGTGGGCCACGATAGTTCCTCAGATTTCAGGGCGCCTCTTATTATTTCATTGCGTTCCTGCCCCCCCCTGGGCCGCGCACATGCTGCTGGCCATGATTTGCCCCCCCCCCTCCATTACATCCCCCAAGACTCCCTAGATGTGTTCCAAGCTTACCTGGATACCCAAGATTCCCAACTGCTCCGCACGGGCTCTGGGGACAAGGGCCGCTGGATTTCTTCCAGAGTCCATCTATGGCGCACCCTGAGCCGATCGCATCACGACATCATATTATCGTCCGAGGTAAGGAAGTCTCAGAGATCCCCGATGTATCCCGATGTGATCGGAGGTTGGGAGGTGTGAGCGGAAGTGACCCCAACCAGGAAATCGGTTTCGGTTTCGGTCCGTGTCGTGCGTGCGGACGAGGCGAAGTTGCGCGAGTTCCTGCGCTTGTAGAGGCCACATGAAGCCCAAAAGGTCGCCCGCCCCCCCCCCCCCTGGCGGGCGCGGCCCCCGATGGTTGTCCCGCGGGTTGTCCTGATGGGTGTCCCGATGGATGTCCCGATGGTTGTTGCCCCGATGGGTGTCCCGATGGTTGTCCCGATTGTTGTCCGGATGGTTGTCCCGATGGTTGTCCCGATGTCTGTCCCGATGGTTGTACCGATGGATGTCCCGATAGTTCTTCCGATGGTTGTCCCGATGGTTGTCCCGATGGTTGTCCCGATTGTTGTCCCGATGGTTGTCCCGATGGTTGCCCGAAGGGTTGACTCGATGGGTGTCCCGATGGATGTCCCGAGGGTTGTCCCGACGGTTGTCCCGATGGTTGTCCCGATGGTTGTCCCGATGAGTGTCCCGTCCCGATGGGTGTCCCGATGGATGTCCCGATTTTGTTGTCCCGATGGTTTTTCCGATGGTTGTCCCGATGTATGTCCCGAGGGTTGTCCCGATGGTTGTCCCGATGGTTGTCCAGATGTCTGTCCCGATAGTTGTACCGATGGATGTCCCGATGATTGTCAGGATTGTTGTCTCGATGGTTGACTCGATGGTTGTCCGATGGTTGTCTTGATAGGTGTCCCACTGGTTGTCCTGATGGGTGTCCCGATGGATGTCCCGATGTTGTTGCCCCGATGGGTGTCCCGATGGCTGTCCCGATGGTTGTCCCGATGTTTGTCCCGATTGTTGTACCGATGGATGTCCCGATAGTGGTCCTGATGGTTGCCCCGATGGTTGTTCCGATGGTGATCCCGATGGTTGTCCCGATTGTTGTCTCGATGGTTGACTCGATGGTTGTCCGATCGTTGAATATATGGTTTTTCCGATGGTTGTCCCGAGGGTTGTCCCGACGGTTGTCCCGATGGGTGTCCCGATGGTTTTCCCGATGGGTGTTACGACGGTTGTCCCGATGGGTGTCCCGATGGATGTCCCGATGTTGTTGTCCCGATGGTTGTCCCGATTGTTGTCCCGATGGTTCTCCCGATGTCTGTCCCGATGGTTGTCCTTATGGGTGCTCCGATGGTTGTTCTGATTGGTGTCCCGATGGATGTTCCGATGTTGTTGCCCCGATGGTTTTTCCGATGGTTGTCCCGATGGTTGTCCGGATGGCTGTCCCGATGGTTGTCCCGATGTTTGTCCCGATGGATGTACCGATGGATGTCCCGACAGTGGCCCAGATGGTTGTCCCCATGGTTGTCCCGATGCTTATCCCGATTGTTGTCTCGATGGTTTACTCTATTGTTTTTTCCGATGGTTACCCCAAGGGTTGTCCCGACGGTTGTCCCGATGGTTGTCTCGATTGTTGACTCGATGGTTGTCCGATGGTTGACTCGATGATTTTTTCCGATGGTTGTCCCGATGGTTATCCCGATGGTTTTCCTGATGGGTGTCCAGATGTTGTTGTCCCGATTGTTTTTCCGATGGTTGTCCCGATGGTTGTCCCGATGGTTGGCCCGATGGTTGTCCCGATGGTTGTCCCGATGTGTGTCCCGATGGTTGTACCGATAGATGTCCCGTCAGTGGTCCCGATGTTGTTGTCCCGATGGTTGTCCCGCTGGTTGTTCCGATGGTTGTCCCGATTGTTGTCTCGATGGTTGACTCGATGGTTGTCCGATGGTTCACCGGATGAGTTTTCCGATGGTTGTTCCGAGGGTTGTCCCGACGGTTGTCCCGATGGTTGTCCCAGTGGTTGTCCCGATGGTTGTCCCGATGGGTGTCGATGGTTTTCCCGATGGGTGTTCCGATGGTTGTCCCGATGGGTGTCCCGATGGATGTCCCGGTGTTGTTGCCCCGATGGTTGTCCCGATGGTTGTCCCGATGGTTGTCCCGATGGTTGTCCGGATGGTTGTCCCGATGGTTGTTCCGATGGTTATCCCGAGGGTTGTCCCGATGGTTGTCCCGATGGTTGCCCGAATGGTTGTCCCGATGGTTGTCCCGATGTTTGTCCCGATTGTTGTCTCGATTGTTGACTCGATGGTTGTCCGATGGTTGACTCGATGATTTTTTCCGATGGTTGTCCCAAGGGTTGTCCCGACGGTTGTCCCGATGGTTGTCCCGATGGTTGTCCCGATGGGTGTCCCGATGGGTGTCCCGATGGTTTTCCCGATGGGTGTTCCGATGGTTGTCCTGATGGGTGTCCCGATGTTGTTGTCCCGATGGTTGTCCCGATGGTTTTTCCGATGGTTGTCCCGATGGTTGTCCCGATGGTTGTCCCGATGGTTGTCCCGATGGTTGTCCCGATGTCTGTCTCGATGGTTGTACCGATGGTTGTCCCGATACTGGTCCCGATGGTTGTCCCGATGGTTGTCCCGATGGTTGTCCCAATGGTTGTCCCGATTAATGTCCCGATGGTTGACTCGATGGTTGACTCGATGGTTGTCCGTTGGTTGACTCGATGATTTTTGCGATGGTTGTCCCGAGGGTTGTCCCGATGGTTGTCCCGATGGATGTCCCGATTGCTGTCCCGATGGTTGTCCCGATGGTTGTCCCGATGGTTGTCCCGATGGTTGTCCCGATGGTTGTCCTGATGGGTGTTCCGATGATTGTCCTGATGGGTGTCCAGATGGATGTCCCGATGGTTGTTGCCCCGATGGTTGTCCCGATGGTTGTCCCGATGGTTGTCCCGATGGTTGTCCCAAGGGTTGTCCCAAGGGTTGTCCCGATAGCGGTCCCGATGGTTGTTCCGACGGTTGTCCCGATGGTTGTCCCGATGGTTGCCCCGATTGTTGTCTCGATGGTTGGCTCGATGGTTGTCCGATGGTTGACTGGATGGTTTGTTCGATGGTTGTCCCGAGGGTTGTCCCGACGGACAGGCATCGCTACAACTATCGGGACAACCATCGGGACAACCATCGGGACAACCCTCGGGACATCCATCGGGACACCCATCGAGTCAACCCTTCGGGCAACCATCGGGACAACCATCGGGACAACCATCGGGACAACCGTCGGGACAATCATCAGGACAACCATCGGGACAACCATCGGGACAACCATCGGGACAACCATCGGGACAACAACATCGGGACAACAGCATCGGGACATCCATCGGGACACCCATCAGGAAAGCCATCGGGATAACCATCGGCACAACCATCGGGACAACCATCGGGACAACTGTCGGGTCAACTGTCGGGTCAACCCTCGGGACAACCATCGGAAAAACCATCGAGTCAACCATCGGACAACCATCGGGACAGGCATCGGGACAACCATCGGGACAACCATGGGGACAACCATCGGGACAACCGTGGGGACAACCGTCGGGACAACCGTCGGGACAACCATCGGGACAACCATCGGGACAACCATCGGGACAACCGTCGGGACAACCATCGGAACAACAACATTGGGACATCCATCGGGACACCCATCAAG